AAAAAAAAAAAAAAAAAAAAAAAAAAAAAAAAAAAAAAAAAAAAAAAAAAGGAAAAAGAGAGAGTTATTTACAAAACGTACATGGAAATACAGTATTGACAGAGCGTGGCTGGCAAATCAACATGATTTGAATAGAGAAAGGACTATGGCACATCTTGCTCGAAAGCTCGCACAGCAGCCTCCTTCGAGTGTCCCCGCGGGAAGACAGCTCCTGCCATCCGCGACGCAGTGCCTTCTCCCTCTCCACCTCTCCTCCCGCCCTCCCTCGCCTCTCCACCCCTGCGCTTCTTGCCAGGTCCTTTTTACACTTGGATGACCACCGTGCTGGGGCTCTGGAGCCGAGTTTTGTACTGGTCTAGCCAGCTCCTCAGCTCAGAGATCTTGTAGCCCTCTGGTCCTCTGCCTCCCTGGTACATCACCTTCTCCTCCTGGATGATATAGAGCCTCTCGAAGTAGGCACCGTAGGCGGCGCTGGAAGCATTGTCCATGGTGTCCACGGCCAGGGGGCAATCGGGCGCACCTTCCCTCATCAGCTGAGCTGCCCGCAGCCTGTCCTGGAGGCACTGGTGTTTGGGAATGTTGTAGGCTGCGTCCGAGCTGACCCAGCCGTCGGAGGGGTGTGCTTCTTCGATGTACACCAGCAGGAAGTCGGCAATGTCCACGAAGTGCGCGGCCAGGCGCTGGAAGGACCTCAGGCGGGCCATGAACGGGGGTCAGGTGCAGCTACCGAAGTTGAGGATGAGGGGTCTCTTGCCGCGGGCGAAGTCCAGGATGCGGAGTCTCTTCTGCCCGTCCAGCTGAATCACTTCGGGGTTGGGGGCCACGGAACCCACGTGCGCCGACTTGAAGAAGTCCAGCTTCTGCCCATGCCACACGGCTTTCAGCGACTCCAGCGTGAACATGCGGTTGGAGTCGGACACGCAGACCGGGGGGTCGTCGGGGGGCGGCCCCTCGCTGGCGCTGGCCGCTTCCTCCGCCGTGGGCATCGTCAGCATCTTCTTCCTAATGCACAGAAAATCCAGGAGCCAGAGCATCACGGCGGTGAGCAGGAAGCGAGGGAAGAGGAGGATGCAGGCGGCCGCCTGGGTGAGCAGCTGCAAGGTGTGAACGCCGAGGGAGTGGAGCATCGCAGCGGCTTGTGCTGCAGGGCGCTGGCTGCCGGGGGGCCCCCACGCACCCTGCGTGCCGGGGTCTGTGCAGCACAGCTGAGATCCCGCTTCTCTTTAAGCCCATTTTATAGTCAGGGATTTAAATGAAAAGTGACTCCACCTCCGGCCAGAACCCGCCCCTCTGGAACTTGAGCCTGGGGATTACCTACCCCTCCACTCTAATGACCTAAAAATACACAGACAAAAGGGGAGAGAGCCCCGGCGGGAGCCGCGAGGGACGTGCAACGGAGCAGGGTGCAGGCGATATCAGGCACGGCAGAGAGTCCGAGGCAGGGCACCGCCGGGGTCCCTGGCCGCAGATAGCGGCGGGCGCTCACAGAAAGCCCCGCCAAGGACAATGCAACAGGCGCAGCCCGCCCCCTGCCCGGCTCCCCCCGGGCTGTGCACGGAGCGCGGGGCAGGGGCGGCAGCGGGGCCGGGGCCGTCCCAGCTGCGCCTGCAGGTGACAGGGACGGGCCGCCCGCGCCGCGTCCCTCCCCGCGCCTCCCTCCCCTCCCCGCCCCGGCAGCCCGGTCCCCCCGGGCACAGCCCTGGCCCCGCCGCACGCCCCGGCGCCGCGGGGGCACCTGGGGCTCTAGCCCGCCGCCGCCCCGCGCCCGCATCCTCCGGCGGCGGCGGCTGCGGCGGTCCGGGCGGCGGGCGCTGCCCCAGCACGGCCCCGGCCCCGCGGCAGTGCCAGCCCCGCGGCAGTGCCGGCCCGGTGCGGGCGGGCCGGGCCCGGTGCGGCCCCGGCGGGGGCTTCGGTGGGCGCGGGCGGCGGGCGCTGCCCCGCGCGGAGGAGGGGCGCGCGCGGCGCGCGGCCGCGAGGGGGCGCTGTTGGCCGAGAAGCGGCGGCGGGAGCGGGGCCCGAGCCCGGCCCGGGGTGTCCGCGGCCCTCACGGCCCGGCCCGGCCCCGCCGGCCTCCACCTGCTCCCCCCAGGGAACGAGGGTCACCGCAGGCCCTGCGGAGCCGGCGCTGCGGGGCGTGCCACGGTGGGTGGTCAGAGCGGACGGGGGAGAGTAAGGGAGCGCTGCGTCTGCGGTGTCCCCCTGCTCACCGGGGTCCTGCTGCGTCCAGGTGAGCAGCAGGGCAGGCAGGGCGGGCGCTCCTTTACGGCGTCCCCGGAGGAGCCAGCTGTGCTTTTCTACACCTGTCAAGCGATGTATAAACACAAGCTTCTCATGGGAGTAGGTCTGGCGAAGTCCTTAAACAAATGGCTGAAGCGTCACCTCACGGGCACGGCCAGGTAGACCCTTGTGTGCTGCCCACAGAGTGGTTATGGTTGGGTGGGTTTGGCGATGGTAGCAAAGTGCTCGCAACGTGAAGGGCTGAGCACTGACTGGCCGCCTTCAGTCTTCACCTATACAGAGGAATTCATGGCCTGTAGATTCGTTCCTGCTGAACTAGATGGAGACCTGTCCCAGAGGTACAGAACTTGGATCTAGTTTGGTGTCTCTGCCTTACCTCTCCATTGTTTGCAGAGCTCCCAGCTTGCAGCATGCACATCGTTTCCTCACCAGCTTCCTCAGAAAGGGATATTAACTGTCAAAAATGCTGAACACTGCCCTCTGCTATGCAAATGCAGCTCATGCATCGCTGAGCTGCTGCTACAGCTGCCACTCACGCAGGTGGCCTGCCACACTGACTTTGGGACATGCCACCCAAGCATTCAATGTGCTAGTGGGTCCTGAGTGCCCCATTGCTGCCTGTGGCCAATGTCAGGTCTCTGGCTGCAGATTCCCAAGGACCCTGAGGACCTCCAACTCCCCTGGGTGCAGTCTGTGCTTCTCCAAAAGTGACTGTGCATGTCTGTGCCTCCCGTCTAACATCTGCGAAATGGAAAAATGAATGCTGAGCTTCCTCATGGGAGTCTAGGCAACTTGCTTCATTTTTATGTAACTTATTACGAGAACTCTGAATAAAAGGCAAAATTAAAATCTCATTTTATTTTTTGCTTTATCTAGTTTCGAATAGGCTGGTTTAGAGCAATCTAATCAGATGCCTGGTTTGCAGCCCTCACAGTGCATTGTCTTTACTTGGTGCCAAGAGCAAGTGAAGGTAATTCAGCATTTTAGGATCTGAATGAAAGTGCCCCAGACCTCATAAAGCCACATTCATACAGCAGCCTGATTAATAACTTTGGCATTCCATGGTGCTCAGTCCAGGGAAAATTACTGAGTAGATATTTGCTATATTGTCAAACTTATTTTGAACTATTCATGTGGGCCTCTCACCACCTCTCTGTGCTGTTATGCAATCTTGAAAACCACAAATTAAAGCCTCTAAACAGACGCAATAACAAATTGTGGTAGCTCTGAAGAAACCCCCAGGAAAAAAAATTGATCTCTCAAAGCGACCTCTTCAAACTATGCTGACAGACAAAAGCCTGAGTAAACAGATGGGTTTGCAACCCTGAATATCAACAAACTTTGCTCTACTAGATCAGTGAGAGATATTCCAAGGTAAAAAAGCTATTTGGTCAAATATATTGTATTTTTAGATGGATAGGGACTTTGGAAATGACTTTTTCTCCATTCCCTAGAAACAGCCTTGCTTTATTTTTATAACTTGAAGGAAACCCTTGAGTTGGGGTTTCCTATTCAGCTGTGAATAGAGAGACAACTGAAGCATTTTGCTCCACCTGCCTACTGCTACACTTTCCTGCCATATTAAAATTCAGGTATAACCTGAGGCCACTTTTTTCACAGTTTAGGAAACGGTGGCTCTACAAACCATGCACTGATGTGCTCAGTTGACGTACAACGCTCAGGTATTAACTCTGCGGGAAAGGGTGGAATTTCTTCTGCAGCCCTTCGGTTCACAAAAGGTTTGAAGTGACGTGTTGCTGCTGTTCTCAATTCTGTGTTGTGCTGGACAATTTTCAAAATCACGTGTTTTCACTCTGATCCCCCATCTCTACTTCAAAAGGGTTGTACCTCCCAGTTGGAGCTTGGATTATTTCTAGAAACGTGAAGGTAGTCGATCTTTCTAGGAATCCATATCACTGATACAAATAGTGTGGGAATTTACGTCTTCCTGAGCACTGAGGATTTCAGAATATATCCTAAAATATGGGATTTACAGTGGCACATCTGGTTATGGGTGGTTTTTACTCTTCTGCATGTGGTCTGTGGTTCAGCAGTCACTAGCTTAAAAATATATGTTTATGTGTGTGTGTGTCCCCGCACAAGTGCACATACATGGTTCATATTATTTCCTTTTTTCTGAGAACTTTATAGTTGTAGTTTTTCTTCATTTGATAAATGTAGTTTGTAACTCTTTTAAAGTTCTTTTCATAAACAGGAGCTACAAAATAAATTCAACAACTTGTAAAAACAAAACCTCAAAAAGCTGAAATTAAAACCATCAGGCCTTATTTGATGTAGAGGATGTGTTGAAATGGTATATTTACATGTTTATTTTCTATTTTATAATTTCCTGCACAAAGGCACGCAATACTTTCTGACAGGAACCGAAATGTATTTTGGAAGAATTCCACCTCTCATGTCATCTAAGCTACATGTCGTTAATGTGTTAGAACTTTATGTGAAGGAAATGAAAAAGACTTTCCTGAAATAAGAGCTGGACAATTTCTACTCATGGAAGTGGCTACCCAGTGACTGAAGAGAGGTGCAGTGGTGCAGTGGTAAATTACTCACCTGTCTGGTATCTGTAAGAAGTGGTTAAATGTTATATTGCTGAAATTGGAGTAGGATAAACTCCATTTGCAGTTGTTTGCTTGTAGTGACACCTCTGGAAAAAAGTTACCATAATCTGGAGTCTGTGCATGGGTCTGGCTGTCTTTGGACCTACCTCTCTCTTAATCTTTCACCACTTTTAGGTGACACCTGTTTTTCTTTTCCTCCCTTCTGCTGCCTTTTTTTAATATTTTTTTTTTTAAAATTATATATATATGAGTCAGAAAAAAAAAAAAAAAAGGAAACCCAAGCACCCAGCCAATGCTTGGAGTAGCTCTGAGTACTGAAACAAAAAAAAGTGCTGTGCTGCAGATTGGTCTACAAAATCACTAGCAGAGACATGGACTTTGAATCTCCTACCTGACCCTGGCAGTCTCACCTTCGAATATGAGACAAGTCGGTCATATATGACAAAGAGATTCCCTGCACTGAAGCCTTTTAATTCTTTTTTTCCCTCACTTCTTGCTGACTCTGGGTTGAATTGGGAAATACCTGTTTAATTTGGAGGGCAGACTGATTCCACAGCCACAGGTCTGTTAGTGCAACATTCAGGTCTCACTCTGGGTAAGTGGAAACCAACATTTTCTTGAGTTTGTGAGTCACCCACCAAGACTTTGCTGTGTGACCAAGTGTACAGTTCCCCTGATGTGTTAATGGGTTTTTGCACCTGGCTCTACATGGCTGCTCCGCAGTGCCCCTCTTGTGCCAGCAGCCTGTCAGGCTAGGGTAGAAACTAGATAACCAAAATTCTGGTTTTAAACCCAGTGATTTTGGTGACGGGGTTCACTTTGGGACCCCTAAAATAGTGTGTAATAGAATTTCCAGTGCAACTTCATGAATGACAAAAAGTGCAAATTTCCATCCCATTAATCCTTCCTCATTTCTGCTTGCACTGTGTCTTGGGTGATCTTGCAGTGACCTGTGGGAACCTGCTTCGGGGACTAAGGGGGCAGAGAAGCTTGACTTTAGAAAAAAAGAGTTATTTCCTGACAGGTTAGTTCTCTAAACTTGCTAATGACAAAATGAAATGATCACCTGTGATATAAGGGAGGCACTAGAGGAATGGCCAGAGCCTGCAGCCAAGGCAGGGCTAACAGGTCCATCCCGTCAGACTGCCTTAGCAATATTATCAATCTGTCCCTGGGTGGAACTGCATAGCGAGAATGTGTTAAAAGCAGAAATTTCCTGAACAGGCTTCGCTGCAAATGTATGTAGTCTTCCCCTTTTGTGTAGTGGAAGAGCATAGGAGATGTACAGGAGATGACAGTGGCTGTCACAGGGTCCTGCTGGGCAATGTAGCTGCAACGGGGTGCACAGCCGGCTTCTGGGGGGAGCCAGCAATGTCAACTTCAGCAGCAGCTGCTAACACACTTCCATCAGTAGGAAATCAGATTATCCATAAACCCCCGTGCCAAGCATATCCCTGCTACCCATCAAGCAAACTGCTCGAAAGCTGCTGTGGCTCAAGAGCTCAGGCTGGACCCCCTGGTAGCACGGTATAATTACAGTCATCTGAATGGTTTGCTCTGCAGCAAAGACAACAGTCTAGTCCAGAAGTGGAACCCCATAGAGTTATACTTATGTGGCGACTTTATACACAATGAATACAGATGAAGTCCTTGGCAGAAAAGAGAAAATAATTCTCCCATTGT